GACGCCATCTTTGACTGTCACAATTACTCTGAAGGTAGGAAGGTTAAACTTGCTATTGTTGAGTTTTCTGACTATGCTGCTATTTGGTGGAAAAAGCTTACTAGGGATAGATTGCAAGAAGGACAAGCACCAATTTCTACTTGGGCTGAGATGAAGAAGGTGACGAGGAAGAGATTTGTGTCATCACACTTTCAAAGAGAACTACAACAACGTCTTCAAACATTGAAGCAAGGGTCCATGTCTGTGGATGAATACTTTAAGGCTATGGATATGGCTATGATCTAAGCTAATTATATGGAAGAAGAAGAGGCTACAATAGCTAGGTTTTTAAATGGTTTAAATAAGAAAATAGCTGACGTAGTAGAATTACAACAATATGTAACAATAGATGAGTGTTACCCTTTTTTACTATGTAACAATATGTAAAGATGGCCTTAAAATTAATATGAAATGACGATTTTACCCTTTTTTCATGAGTGTTAATGTCCTTAATATTTACACAACACTCGTGAATCTAAGGACATGATGTCCTAAAGTTTAACAACATAAGGTGCAAATACATGATACTTTGTCCTTAATATTTACACAACACTCATGAAGTTAAGGATACCATGTCATTAATATTTACACACACTCATGAAGTTAAGGACACTATGTCCTTAATATTTATACTGCACACATAAAGTTAAGGACATGATGTCCTAAAGTTTAACAACAGAAGGTGCAAATATAAGACACTTTGTCCTTAATATTTACACAACACTCATGAAGTTAAGGACGCCGTGTCCTTAATATTTACACAACACATATAAAGTTAAGGACACTATGTCCTTAACATTTACGATACTATACGAAGTTAAGGACTGGATGTCCTAAAGTTTAAAATAGAAGGTGCTAATTTAGGACACTTTGTCCTTAATATTTACAAAACACTCATGAAGTTAAGGACACTATGTCTAGCACAGGAGTATTTTTGTTCGGGTGGGTAAGAGTTTATTAAAGCACTGGCCAAAGAGTAAATACATTTTAAACAGTGGCTTAAGAGTAAATACAACTCTAATTAGTGGCTAACTGTGCGCTTCCCACATTAATTTAAGTATAAAATTCGCATGGGTGAAAAATAATGTAATTGTGCATAAAAATACCGATATAAAATTAAGTAATCTATGTACAATAATTTTTCATTAATAATCCTCGCATAGCAGTACCTTTATTATATTAATAAATAAAATTAGGTATAAAATAATCAAAAAATTGTTATAGTTAGATTTAGTACAACGGAAGACTTTTGACATATGTGTCTTAAATAAGCTATATGTTATAAAATAATAAAAGAAGAACAAGGGTATTGCAGAGAAAAGTAGAGGGAGAGAATTCTTATTGATTTTGGGATGAATTACAATAGAATAGAGCCCTCTATTTATAGGGAGATGGTGACTTAGCCACCAAGCAATGAACCCTAGAATCTCTCTAAATATAGACATTCACCATAAATACAATTCTATTTATAACACTCCCCCTTGAATGTCTATTCAATAGATAATGTGCCTCGTTAAAACCTTAACTAAAATAAAACCCAGTGAGAAAAAATTCTAGAAAAGGAAAAAGAGTACACATATCTAACAATACGCCTTTTGGTTGCCTCGTTAAAAACCTTGCAAGGAAAACCCAGTGGGACAAAACCTTGTAAGGGAAAAAGAGTACAACGCGCTTTAACTCCCCCTGATGAGAGCATCAATTCACATCCTTAAGCATTTGCATTCCAATCTTGTGCACCATCTTCAAAAGATCTTTGGTAGATATTTGATAAACAAATCAGCCATATTAACTTGAATTAATATATTGCACCTTGAAATCATCATTCTTGATAGAGATGGATTGTCTTCATATGATCTTGTTGGAATCGTCAGTTCAATATCTTAGCATAGAGGTGAAAACTCTTCATATCATATTATCATGCCTATAGTTATAGCAAGATACATTTGTGCACAAATTGCATTGAGGAAGTAGTACTTCATGACCATGAATTCTATATGCTTTAAGCAATTTAAATCCTTCAGGGATTGTTAAGTCATATAAGCCAAATAATAGACTTTAGATGCATATCAAGTTTTCATGTCATGCTAGACATATAAGATAGATAAAGGTGATAGCACACACCATTGACTTTATACTTTTAAGTGTTTTAACTGCAGGTCCAAAACTACTTGTCTTTCATATGAAACCAAATTCTACTTGAATTGTTTCTCCAGACTTAAGATCCTCATATATATTTAGCGTTATTATAGATATCGTCGACAAATATTTAATATCAGTTTCAATATTTTTTCATAAAGACATAACATAGAGATCTCTTCATTCATTTCAGGTACCTAAACCTCTCCTGAGATTTAATGAAGTATTATGTCATGTAATCTTCTAGATCACTTGCCTCCTTTATTATGATCATTTTGATCATTTGCTCATCTTCTTTATCAAGAAGTTTATTTGAAACCGATTTGTCTATATGCTTTAAGCGTACCATAGACTTTGTCCTTCTAGGACTTAATAGGAGCATTTGCAATGAGAATATAGTTACTTTCTTTGGGTCAGCAAATGCGTCTGGCATGCTTTGCAATAAATTGCACATGAATTATCCTTTTATGAACTTCAAGTTCATATTATTTTATTCGAGGATCTAGATGTATAAATGATAATTCATTCCACGTAACTTTTTCTCAACTGTTGTATCTTGTCTCCCCCTCATGTTAGAAAAACTAACTTGCTTCCTCAATTTTGAAAATCCATCTTTGTGCGTTATGGTGTTAATCAAAATATACACCGCACATCAATAATAATAAGATGAAATTATTTGGTTCCTGACCCTGAACCACTTGTGAGGGGAGAAAATAATATACTTTGGTATATAACGTATATCATGATATAGATAACTTTGTTCTCATAAGCAATTGTTTAGCTATTAAGTAGATGCACTTAATAAATCATTTTGCTAAACCAACTGTGATGTAAACCAACTTATCAAGATGAACTTCTTGAATAGAAAATCTGGAAATTATGCTCGAAATTAAATTATTGAGCAAGTTACCTCGCAAAACACCATGTTGCGGGTTATTAATAATCGCATATGTAACCATCTCATAGATGCATCTTATGTGGTATACATGGCAGGTGAATGAGCCCATATTCACCTTTGATATTTCCAGCATTCATGGGATTCAATCCCAATTTTAATTGGCATATTAATTAATGAGAACAGGCAACATAAGAGAATTCATAAAGAACTTTCTCGTTCTTTAATATTTACCCATGTGAATTCTCTTTTATTTTTGCACATCATACTTGAATTAACATGGCTAAACCAATTATGCCAACTGGATAAATTATTAATATTGATAAACTTCAGATTTACACCATGACGTGTGCAATTATCAATAAACTCCAAGTTTATTATGATATGGATTTTTATATCAATAAACTTCTCTTTATTGTGGCATTCTTTTGTTTGTGTAGTACAAACTGGAGAATAAAGCGGGTAGCTTTTCATATACATATTATCCCGCTACAAGTTGTAGTAATAAAAGATATTAAATCTTTCCTTTATTTATAGTCTCAGTATGACCAACGCCTTTCGCGAATACTTTAGAAACTCAATAAGTTTCTTTGAGACTTACTACAACACAATACCTTATTGGTAATAAATTGTGTTTCTCCAAAATAGTATAATTGGCTCTTGCAGAGTTCTCAATTAATTTTGTAGTACCACATATTCATCAACATCCATATGGTGAATATCTCTTTTAAAGAGAAAGTTATACCATTATGGTTATGGTCAAAATTATGTGCAAGATATGTTTCTTGCATTAACATTGTCTTTTAATAATCACAATGCCAAAATATTTTGGCGTACAATAAGTACGTGACCAATGATCATTTATGCCATAATAATGACATTATTTTCTTATTTCCTCTCAAACCTCCTTCTAGAGGTGAGCGTGGTATATTCACTACCACTAGCACGTTCATATTCCTCCAAGAATGAATATGTATTCATAAATCAGATGTTGTCACATTCACATCATGAATGGACCATAATCATCTATATGTGCTTTATAAAATCTCATGTCAAATCGATGACAAATATTACTTTCAGAGAGTGAAGGATTATTTTGAGAATCCTTATTATTCTCATTATCACAATGATGACAATTATAATTTCGTCTATTGCCACGTCCACATCCATTGATACCTTCATGGTAATAAATTTGTCTTCTTTCTGACTTATCACATATTGCTATCACATTCTCTTAAGGGAATGAGAATGGAGCAAATTCAATGGGACGGATTTTTAATTCTTTGCCCACAATCATGGCAAGGGATAACTATTTTACCACTTTTGGTGGTTATAATTTCTTACTAACTCCATTAGAGTTATAATCAAAATTTATTGTCTTTGCTCGTATTTAAAATCAAATTATAGAATGTCAAGAATCTAAAAGAGAAAAATAAAGCAAAATACTTACCTTAAATCCAGAATTTAATCATGAAGGAAGTTCATTGAACAATTGACAACCATTATGCTCCATCCCAAAACTTCTACTCAATTGGTTAGAGTCTCGTGCTGATAACGTGTTATAAAATAATAAAAGAAGAACAAGAGTATTGCAGAGAAAAGTAGAGGGAGAGAATTCTTATTGATTTTGGGATGAATTACAATAGAATAGAGCCCTCTATTTATAGGGAGATGGTGACTTAGCCACCAAGCAATGAACCCTAGAATCTCTCTAAATATACACATTTACCATAAATACAATTCTATTTATAACACTATAGTATTTGTATGAGCGTAAAACTTTTAAAAATTTGTGGTTTGAAATCTGTAACAATATTTGTGTGACTATCTCTATTAAAAAAAATATAAAAAGTATCTATCTTTATAAATGGACTAATAAAAAAATAATAGCAATAGGGTATAATATTTGATTGGCCCCCATACCTAATAAGTCAACCAAACCACCATTGCTAAATAGAGAAGGTTACCATTTGGTAACATTCATCCTCTAATGTTTCATTTTAAAAGTGTGCATTCCCTTTCTTGGAAGCAATTTTCTTCTTATTGATTTCCAAACTCGCACCACAGTAAAAACAGCTGTGCTCGAAAGGTTAAGGATGACAGTGGCAGCAGGAATTGGATACGCTTTGTTAGCTCTGGGCCCTTCCCTCTCCCTCTTCGTCGCCGTAATCTCCAAAAAACCCTTCTTGATTCTCACTGTTCTTTCTAGGTAATCTTTTCTCTCATACTTTGGACTTCATTCAGGGCTGCTTGTCTGGAGTATCACTTCAAATGCACAAATATTTTTCATTTTTTCTTGAAACACGTATAAATTACTTCTGACCAATTGGATGCTATATTGTTCATATTTTTTCTTCTGGGTGCAGACATATACTTGTCATCTTTTTGGTGGCAAATTTGGTGAATTTTCTCTTTCATAGGTGTAATTTGTTTATTGTAAATGCGGATATATACTTTTCATTTCTTTGTGGCAAATTTGGTGGTCTTTATCTTTCATGGGTGTGATTTGGTTATTGTAAATGCAGATATATTATTGTCGTTTATAACTTAAAAAATGTCTTTCTTTTTCTTAAATTGGTTACTTGGTGCGTTTGGTATATGGTAAATGCTGACATATAGTTGTCATTCTGTGTTCATTTCATAATTATGGAAAATCCCTTTGTTGCCCAGTGCTTTCTTTTGTATAAGTACTAAGGATAACAATGTGAGCTACTATTATTACATTTTAACCTCATATGATGTTTTCTTCTGCTGCATTCGTGGCTCAGCGTTTGTCAATTCGTACTGTGGTTTGTGTTTTGCTGGTTTGCAGATCTCCTTATACTAGTATTATCCACTTTTGATTGTTGTATGTGAATAATTTTTTCCTTCTTCCTTTTTTGGGTAGTACATTGCTATGGCTTATGAGTCTGATAGTAATGTCAGCACTATGGAGGGCTTTCCTTCCACTGAAAACAGCAGCATGGTGGCCGTCTATGATCCTCATACTCACTTCTGTTGGTTTTCAAGAAGGGCTCCGTGTTATCTTCTGGAAAGTTTACAAGTAAGTCGGCATACAACTAATGTCTTGTGTATACTTTTCTGTTTGCATAGGTCAAACTAGTTGTAACTGAGTGAAAGTTATAGTTGATGTACATATCACTTAGATCAGTTTCTTTGCTGAAAATTTTATGAAGAGGAGTAGAAATACAAACTAGAAAAAGACATCTTGACCTTAATGCGATTACTTGTAGCTTTCCCAAAAACTTTTGGAGTTTTACACACATGATTGATTTTCTATGAAAATGTGAAGGACATATGCTTGCATGATTGTAGATGCTTGCACTCATTGTGCCAGTTAATCAACACACAAAGCCAAGATGTGATAACATAGTTTCACATGAGAAAAGAATGTGTTGAAGCCAATGAAGTAACTGAAATGCAGAAAGGAATAAGTGTAGCACTTTTTCTTTTTTGAAAATAACCGCAAGCTTTATTAAGATGTGCACTTCATCTAAAAAAGCTTTATTGAGATGTGCACATCCTTTTCATGAGTAGGGGATGATCCATGTTTTCCTTGCTATGGTATGCAGACTTGGTGTGTAGCTATTTTGTTTGATACCATGCATGCATTTATGTCTAGGATTATGGCCATGTCTTCCATGTTGGAAATGGGTGTGTTATTAACTCTTGTATATAAGGAATATAAATTCATTTATCAAATATGATCATGAAACTTATTTTTCTAATAAAAAGTTGGTAGAACATCCTCTTCGTTTACCTTTTCCTTCTTCAGCAGAGCTCCTCTATTTATAATCTTTAATCAACTTGTCCAAAATCAAAGAACTTGAACCAAGTTGATTATATCTTAATTCTTGCATAAATCTTCCTAGCAGCCTTGTCATGTCATGTCGGGCATGAATGTTATGGTCAAATTCATGGTTGTCTATCCCAACCTCCTTGTAAATTGTAATGGTTGGTCTTTTTGGGAGAACTAGGTTATGATTTTTTCTGCCAAGCAGCGAATCTTCTGGTGCTGTAAATCTAACAAACATGCAGTTGTAATTACACCCCATATTGATCCATTAGATGTCTTTTTCATTTTACGATTTGCTAATCTACATCCCACTTTAGCTATAATTCTTTAGATAACTGAGAAACCTCATGTGAGTTAGCTCCTCAACCCAATTATGCTCACAGGCTTGAAACTGGGGGGACTATGGCAGTCAGTGGCAGGATTCAAACCCCTGATGTGTCTAACCTACACTTCCAGCTTTAGCTAATTCTTGAATTCCTTGTCATAATGTATCTAAAAGTACTACTTCTGTTCACCATGAAACAATGCTTTCTTCTTCATTCCATACTAAGAGTGGTCCAATCCTCATTTCCCCTTTGTCACATCCCCGTGTTTTTCTAGTTTCAGTTCGAAACATCATTGCTTGGCATGTTTTTTTTTTCATTTGATAATTTCCTTTGGGACTGAGGCGTTGTATTTCAAATTTCCTGCTGCTTTTGCTTGCTTATAACTGTGACCTCAAAAGACTGGTTATGATTTGTTTGGAAGAGCTTTTATGGCTTCCAGTACTTTTATCCTACTATATATGTAAATTTACCCTTAACTTTGTATTCCATGTTGTGTTATGTCAGGAAGCTGGAGGATATATTGGATGCATTTGCTGACAGGGTCTCTAAACCTCGTCTCTTTATAACGGACAAGATGCAAATTGCTCTTGGTAGAATGCTGAAAATATTCACAATATGTCTTTTGGTTGCTAGTATTTAGTTTTAATACTTTTGCCATCTTCCCTAGAATTTTAGTGGTTATAGTTTTGTTTTCTCACTAAAGTACCTTACAGGCTAGCCAAAATCAGTTTGGTCATTGGTTGTTATAAACAAGTTGCTCTACCAACTGAGCTATAGCCTTATTGCTTGTGATACATACTTTATTATGTAGATAAATTCTTGTCGAGATAAATATTCCATGATCCAACATCAACAATCTTTGATCTCTTGTGGTATAGGTGGTCCCAAGTGTTGAGTGTGAAAATAAAAAGATAGAGGGATTACTTTACAAACTACCGGCAGTTAGCTCGATGTGAATAACCCGTTTTACAGTTAAAACTGCCAATAGAGATTCTGTTAATTAGAATAAACATCTTTAAGGGGTCACTGTTATTCATTGAGATTCTGAATCCCCGACACAACAACAACAACAACAACGATCAAGTAAAATCCCACAAAGTGGGTCTGGGGAGGGTAGTGTGTACGTAGACCTTACCCCTACCCCGATGGGGCAGAGAGGCTGTTTCCGATATACCCTCGGCTCAGGAAGACGGAAGTATAATTCTGAATCTGCGACCCATTGAGTTAAAATAGTGCTGCTACACTGTTGCTGTTTGCTAGTGGGAACGCTTAATCTGGGATGCTACTGTTTGTACCCCTTTCCAGCTCCAATTTGTTTCAATTTTCTAGTATTCTTTTGATCTTTTCATTTCTAGTGATTGATAACGTGAACTACCGTTATGCTATTAGATATCTGGTGTAGTTTCTGATATTCTTTCTGTTGATCTTCCTCTAGTTTCTGATATGTGTTTCCATGCAGCTGGAGGTTTGGGACATGGTGTGGCTCATGCTGTGTTTTTTTGCCTTAGCCTTTTGACACCTTCGTTTGGACCAGCGACATATTATGTGGAGAAATGCTCAAAGATACCCTTTTTTCTTGTTTCTGGTAAGTGAAACCTGCTATTTCGGAGCTCCTCTTTATTTCTTTTGGAGCACCTTCTGATTACCTTGTAGTATTGACATTTGGCAATATTGTTATATGTGAAAGATTTTGAGCACCAACCCAAAACATTAAGTGGGCATTTGGACATAAGAATCGTAAAATTCCAAAAAAGGGCAAAAAAAAATTCAAGTGAAAATGGTATTTGAAATTTAGAGTTGTGTTTGGACATGAATATAATTTTGCGTTGTTTTTGAAGTTTTGTGAATGATCTGAGTGAAAATTTAGAAAAACAGTTTTTTGGAGTTTTTCAAATTTTCGAAAAATTCCAAAATGCATCTTCAAGTGATTGGAAATTTATGAACAAACGCTGATTTCGGAAAAAAGTGAAATTTTTTTGAAAAAAAGGAAAAAATTTCTTATGTCCAAACGGGCTCTAAGGCAGGGAGTGGAGTAACCTAGGAACATTATAAACCTCTCTGGATATTCGTATACAACTAATAAGGTTGTATTCTTTAACAAGCATCCACACTTGAACTCGGTTCTAGAGTATACATGTGTACTTGAATATTTTTTCTTTTTAAAGTTCATATTTTATTAATTTTAAGAAGATTGAAGAGTGGGCTTGTAGTGTAGAGCATGAGAAAGCTCAGTAGGCTGAAGAGTCAGCTAGAGCAAAGTCAGTGACTCAATAGTTTATATTGGGATAGAGAAAACTAGAGCTGCTTGATGGGCTAAGTTGAGATAGAAAGGCCTATAGCAATAAAACAAGTAGGGAGAAAGCGTGTCTGACCATGAGCTTACCTAAAATTTTCGGTTCCCATTTCTTGGGGCTGCACTACTGTTTAACTTAGAAAAATAGTGTGCAGAAGGGAATAGGGCATGTTGCTATAGTGTTGCTTAATACCTACTATATAGTTATGTAGTCTTAAAACACTATTTGGTATTCTAAATTGCAGCAATTATAGCCCTTGCATTTGCTACCATCCATACTTTCTCCATGGTTATTGCGTTCAGTGGATATGAAGAAGGAAACAAAGTGGACCAGTGTTTTGCTCCTGTTGTTCACTTAATTGCTGGCATGTTGGTAAGTATATCTAGATTGTCTGGTTCCCACCTTGTCTCGTTTGTGTATGTGAAATACTTTTTCTTTATTGCACTGCATGTTAACCGTCAATAATGCTCATGTATCCAAAAAATTGTTCTCCTGATTTTTGACAATCTAGTTTCTACTTTTCTGGGAGATGTACTCAATATTTAAACATACTAAGTTATCTACTCAAACATTGGAGAGGAATGTTTAGGTACAAAATCTTTTCTCTGCGCTTGAAAATTACCATAATGTGCGGTCAAAGAGTTCTAAAACCTTTTTGAATGACTTTTCTTTGCATAAGGTAGCATCTAGTAAGTGCTGACCAATACAAAATAGAAAATAGCATTTGACCTAGACTAACCACTGGAGAGTGGGAAAACCTTCCATGCCAATTCATAGCACCCACCCACCCCAAAAGGAAAACTAGAGAAGTTCAAATACAAGAACCTTTTTCAGGTTGAGCATGATATCTGCAATATTTTCAACTCACAATTTGTCCAATTCATATCCTTTGTTTGGAGTTTGGACTCTGAAGTAAAATCTGGCATCGAATGTCTATGAACTTTATTGAAAACCACCTTCGCCCCAGCAGATATAAGGTGCAGCTGGAACTCAGTTTTTTTTTTTTTTTTTTTTTTGATAAGATAATGGATTTCCTATAAGGCATCAAGAAGATGCAAAATGTACAGTGCAGTAAAAACATTGTTAGCTCTATTACAAAAGGCCTAGTCTAAAGTTAAGGAGCTAACAAAGTCCAAAAAGGCTTCTGGGGAATTTACAGGTGAAAGGTTACTCCAGCTACATAAACTTGCTAAACATCTAGCCTTAAGTATGTAATTTGGAGTAGAAATTCCCTCAAGACATCTTGTGTTTCTCTCAGTCCATATACACCAGAATCAGCTATAGTTGTAGCTGTCTGTCCGGATAATATGGATTGTGTGCAATTGAGAGATGATAGTAGCCTCCATCTAGAAATGGAGAGAAACAGCTAAGAAAGTAAAGCTTAGAGGGATTAACAGCTTTAGCTTCTTGGCATAGGAAACCAAGAAAGTTTGGGGCTATTTAAGAGGAGCTTAGTGTTTTCCTAATGAAACAAAGTGAAACTCTGCTACCCTTTGCGAACAACATGATTTTCATATGCATACTTACAGAGTGCATTATGCTTTATTGCAACAAAAAGACACACCAAACCTTGAGTTCAGACAACCAACTACTGAGTTCAATTTATTGAGGATCTAGTAACCAAAACTTCCCTAAGTCAGATCTGCTTACTTTTGGAGGGCTCTAGCATAAGGTCAAAATAAAACCTCAGGCAGTATGATCTGCCAAAAGAGGTATATCTCTTCTTATTTTTATGAGATCAGTGACTTGACCATACAATTCAATGTCAGTTGCTGACTTTTTTAATGTACTGTTGATCAAGTTTAGTAATTACAGATTCAAGTGAATTTTGATTAAAAGACGATATGAGGATCACTGTTTGCTGACCTTTGGTTCGTTTTCAGACGCTGACAAATCTTGCATTTGGAGGCTGCATGATTGGCATTCCACTTCTCTATTGTATAGCAATCGTGACCTTGGTACATTGCGGAAGGATGGCATGGAGGAGATTGATAGAAAACCGAAGCAGGCAATGAAACTTTAGCAATGGCCACTAAGCAAGGATAACCTTTATCTTATGCTTGGTGAGTGACAAAGATTAGTAGTATATTGTCTAATGCACGGAGCATTTCAGTAGTGTATTGTGTAACTGGAACTGTATTCTTGTACACAACCGTGAAGTCGTGAACCACCCCTCATCTGTCCCCTTAGCACGTTTACCTCCCACCCCCCACCCCCCAAAAAAAAGTCATTGCAACTTTTGAGAAAGGTTCCTTTGCTGCATTTCAAGAACCTTGAGTTGAAAAAAGAAAATGTGATATAGAAGGATGGACAATGGGAAAGTTGAAGAGCAAACAAGATTCCTTGAGCTATTTTGTTAATTATGTACAAGAAAAAACAGCAGGTGCTTAATCGGCTTTTCTTAGTTGTTGGCTCTTCAGTTATTAATCAACTCCGTTATTATACAGAAATGGTGGCTACCTTTCCACTTCTCCTTTCTGCTGATACGTCTTAGGAATATTTTTAGATATCTTCTATTCAGTTGAAAAACAACATCAATACCCTATCATTTTAAAATTTGATCATCCACCGCAACTAGACTAAGAATCCTATTTTACTATCACGTATTTTTCTTAGTTTCATTCTCTTCTATTTTTGTGGCATTACTCTTTTCCCATAAGTCCTATCAAATCAAAAACTATTTCAAATCTTGTTACTCTTTTTGAATAAAAATGGCGTCTCAGTTAGTTTACAATACCTTGGCTAATCCTTACTAGTACAAGTATGTGATAACTGTGTCCACTAACAGGTGAGAAGGAAGTTATCCCGGGATTAGTTATTCCACTCTTTCATAAGGATTAAAGAATACTACAATCCTCGGATTAGTTTCAAACAAAGGATAAACTCATCTCAAGTTTAATCCCATAATTAATTATCCCTTATCCCATGTATCAAACGAGCCCTAAGAGTTTGTTTGGTACAAGGGATAAGAGAGAATTAATTCTGGGATTGAATTTTTAGATGAGTTTATCCCACGTTAGGTTGAGATAAAATTACAGTATAACTAAATCCGAGATTAGTTATCCCGAGATTGTAATATTATTTTTATCCCTATGAGAGGACGAAATCACAATTCCGGGGATAGCTTGTTTTCCGGTCAAACAACCCAAAAGCTTTAGGCTCGTGGGAATAAACATTGGAAGGTGCAATTGTCATCCTTGTAGAAAATAAAATTTGCAATTTGTTTTGATTTTGATGAAAATAATATTAAGCATTTGTTTCAACTGTTTATTTTAAACTTTTGTAATCATAGTTTAACGATCATATGATTGAACCGTGGGTAAGACCTCACACATTGGTTGCTAAATTACATCCTTTTTGGTACCACCACCTCTAGGATCCTATAAATGTATAAACACCAGTGCAGTCATTCAATAAATATTATTACAAAGTATTCTTTTAGATAGTAAGGTTGTCGGACCCAAATTATACCATATTGGATGGAAAACTAATACAAATTTAGGTGTTATTATATAAATGTGGCAAATGATTGCATCAGTTTTCACTTTTCAGTCCACTTTTCGCTGGAAAACAAGCAGTTTCTGTAACGCATGCAAAACAACAAACATCAACCAAATTTTTTAATTTAAAAGCAGGGTGTCAACAAATATTTTCTACATGTAGAGAGGATGTAGTCATAATTCATTATTACAGTCAAATTTATCTATAACATCCTCATTTGTTCTAAATTTTTTTGGCATATAGTTATAGAGAAGTGTTGTTATAAAAAACATATATTAAAACATAGCATGAAAACTGGTTCCATAAAAAAATTTAACTTTTATAGTGAATGAATATTATATAACGATGCTGTTATAGAGAAGTCTGGCTGATTTGTTTGAAATTTCTTTGTTGAAATGTTGAGACACGGCAAAGTGGTTTTATCTAATGTGATTCTGGATGTAATAGAATTATCATATCATTTCTTTTCCTTGTAAAAGGGATTATTTACCACTAAAAATTATTTTAAACCACTGCCTTTCAAAGTTTAAAATACTTATAGAAGTTTCAAGAGTCGTAGAAAATCTGACTATATTTATAGCGTCATCATATATATATATATATATATACACACACTCCGGATTTTACTTTTTCTTTGTTCTTTTTAATTATTTTCTTTGGAAAAGGATGAGTGGCCGGTACATACTTCTTACTGGTGTTTCTTAGCAAGATATAGAAGAAAAGAAAATCAAGAACAAATCACACTTTGCCTCTTAAGGTGGACTTATCCAAATTTGATTTCATTTCTCTTTTGCTTATTTCTCTTGTTCACTTGTATATAACTTGCGACATTTTCAACTCTGGTACAATTTTTTACTAATCAATCTCAAGCAAAATTTATTCAAATCACTCTCTAGAGACACCTCAAACTGAATTATTTAGAGTTTACAATTTCAAATTGTAATGTTTCTGAGTGTTGTCAAAGGCTCAAATAATGTGCTTTTAAGTACTGATGCTCCAAAAAAGCTTAGGGAAAGCGCTTCACCTCATTTAAGTTGTGTTTCATTGTAGGCAAGGCACTAAGGTATGTGCCTCATTACCCATGAGTTCTATCTTGAATTGACCGGTGCTAAACGACAAATATTATCGGCAAATAAGTGTATTAGTTGTTGACGAAGACATTAGAAATGTGTTTATTTCCTTTTTCTTCAATTATGGTAATGTATTTTTATTTTTATTTTTATTTTCTTAGTTATGCCTTTTGCTCTAAAGCCTACACTTAAGTTACGGTTTGCGCTTAAAGCCCCAATCAATCTGAAGCGCTTTTTAGAGCTTTCCGCTTTTAAAATTATTAAGTGTTCCTAATGGTCTTCTGATCACTATTGTTCAGTCAATTATTTTAGCCAAACTAAGGGATCAGAAAATTATTTTGGTAATTTGAGTTATTTAAGTCCAAGTCAGTCCACGAGTCTAAATTAAATGAGATTTTGTCGAAAGTTCAAAAGTTATTTAAATATATACCCAAAACGTTATGATAGATAAAGTGTATATCAAATAGTTATTATAATTTCAGTTATTAAATTTTATTTTGCTTCTTAACTTAAATTTGGTTATATGCATGACTTGATTACGTTAACCGGACCGTAATTTTAGAATGTATACATAGTAGTTTACGTACTCTTGAGATGAACTAAATCTGAATTAACTTATGTAATAAACAATTGAATAAAAAATTATATTTATGAACATGAGACATTTCTAATTAGACTTTTATTTATTTTTCCAATTATTGGACTTCTATTCATGGATGGTATTAATGGGTTAGTCAATTAAATCAATGATACGTCAATACCATATAAGACCAAAAAATTGGGTCTGATGAATGCTACAACGTGAAATACATTCACTATCTCTTTAGTCTCGTGGGACCCACGACCTATATGAATTCATCTATTTAAGTTTTTTTAATAATTCCCTTTATCAATGTAATTCATTTTAAAAGAAAAACTCAAGAATATTCACAAAACGCTGGTAAAGTTCCTTAATTTGTCATAGTTGCAGCAATTAAGGGCCCGTTTGACCATTAAAGAATATCACTTTTATTTTTGAATTTTTATTTCGGAATAAATGTTTGGCCATGAAAATTTCAAATTACACTTGAAATTGAATTCTGGAAATTTAAAAAACTCCAAAAGTTGTTTTTTCAAAATTTTCACTTCAAATCACTTACAAAAATTTAAAAATAGCTCCAATTGTGTTCATATCTGAACACATTCCTAATTTTCAAATATTATTTTCACTTGAAAAAAAAATATTTTTTCCCAGGAATTTCACAATGCTTCTTTGTTATAGTATGAGTTATGACCCATTTCATTAATCACAATGTATCCAGTTGGACATTAAAAATTTGATTTTCGAAAAAAGTAATATTCAAAATTAAGTTGAAAAGGGTATTAAAATTTAAAATTATGTATAGACATACATTTTATTTGAAAAATATTTCGCTACTGAGGGGACATGAGCTTTTACTTGAAAAAGTGATAAAATTTACTTTTTCAAAACTTGAAACTCATCTTCATAATTTTTTTTTTCAAAAGGTCATATAACCAAATAATGTTTTCCCGAAAAAAAAAATTATGGACAAACAGGTCCAAAGTAACTCAATAAAATCCAAAAAGAAGCAGAAAAAGTCCATAAAATTAATTTTAAAGGAGTGTGCTAATCACGCAATTATCTTCTAGAGCAGTAATCCAAGCACGATTTGTGGGTACACACGCTATTATTTTAGCCACATAAAATTAATCAATATAGCACAGATAAACACTGGCTTATGAACGACGTGACATAACGCGCTAATATTCACCATAAGTTAACCATAAGGAAATGGCCTGCACCAATAATTTATCGAGTATTATTAATTTCCCTAACAGTGGCAAGTGAGAGAAACTGTACGAACCTAATAGTTATGTCCGAATGTTTATCTTAAAGACACGTAGGAAAGATGAAATGAGATAAAGGAGTAAATAGTGATACAGTTACCTGCGGTTCACGCTTCAACCGCTTGTCCGAAGAATCCAGATCATTCGATGGAACTCGGCAGAGAATGATTTGAAGATCAACTGAATATTTAGGCCCAGTTTGGCCATGAGTTTTGCCAAAATAAATTTGGAATTTATTTTTAAAATTCATGTTTGGCCATAAATTTTGCCCATAAATCCCAAATCCCAAATTTCAAATTCCAAAATCAGCTATTGAGCTGATTTTGGGCCAAAATCCCAAAACTTGGGAATTCTATGCATGTTTTTCCAAAATAAAGTTGGAAAATGTGTTTTGAAAACGTATGTCCAAACACATTTTCATCTTCAAATCAAATTTCACCCAAATCAGATTTTTCAAAATAAATTTGGGATCTATGGCCAAATACTAGCTTAAACATTCTCGAAACCATTTTACTGCAAACTTCACTATCACTTCTAATTTTTTAGTTCAATTTCTTCAAACTAAAAAAGAAAAATTACTGAAAACGTGAACCTGTGATATATTTCTCAAGTTCAAATTTAAATATATCTATTTTTGACTTTACCAAATACATTAGTATCATACACGTAAAAATGGAAGATGCGTGGTCTGATGCTCATAGTAATAAGGTCCAATCATTCTGTATACCTTTTATGAAAAACAAGTGCAATACAATCTCTAATTCGCTCCTACAGAAAAAGTTAGTAATTGAATAATAAATGATAGAATTACGTCATTCGAAGGCAGTCTGTAAAAGAAGAAAATAAAATCGGGTGTGAACACATTTTTAAATTGCTCCCTTCACATATAGCCACATTTTTAAAAAAGAGAATATAGACACTAATAATTGTTCTAAACCATTAATCTTCTGTGTCTTTAAACATTAGTATTCAAAGTCCATCAGCTCGACCACAAAAAGTTCATTAACCCCTTGTTTGGATGGTTGTTAATCATCGTTTCATCATGTATCGTATCGTATCGTATTGTATTATTTTGTGGATATAATGTTTGGATAGATTGTGTCGTTTTATTATTTAATTTGACTATATGATAACGTACTGTAACTGATAAATTTATAAAAATGCCCTTGATTGCAGTAAAATTTAAATTTTATCAACAATAACTCATAAAGTAGTTTAAGATAACTACTTTCGACTAATTTATCACCAGTTATGTCACACACACACACATATATATATATATATATATATATTCAATCCATGCAAATTCTAGTGAAGTTAATAAAATAAAAACCAAGTTTTGTTTTTATAAGAAAAGAACGTAGTCCCCAAATTATTTAAATGTTTCATCACACTTTGTGCCAAAAACGTTGAGTAGTCAAGACTATAAAATCTTATTGGGTATTTACTTATAAATATATCTTTCTTAGCATTACAAAAATCGAAGAAGGTTTTGCCACGCTATATCAACATAGATTCATGTAGACGCTATACCAAGCACACATCATTCACAATTAAGATCGTGAATAATATTTTCTAGTAACAAGCATTTGTATATAATCCGAAACTTGAGTGCATAGCATAGTATCTTCTAATAACGAAGCATTCTACTTCATTATAAAATCCTTAATAGTTATAGTAATATAAATAAAAATAATATCAATTTAACTTAATTGTCAATCGACATCATGGTCAACAAAAGAATTTTGCGTTCTCCCCGTGGACATCCAATTAACGTACGGCACAAGTCTGCATGTCGGCAAAGAAATATATAAGTCTTTGGGACCAAACGCCGTTCCAAATCCATCTCCTTCACCATTTGCCATGTCTCACTCTCCGAAATTGATGGCATAATTGATAAGCGATTTATGTCATTAGCCAAATTATCCATCCCACCTCTCAATATATCAGTCATACCTTTAAGATGATCTTGTTTTGGCCTTTTAGTCTTATTAGAAATTGGTGCCTCTGAATATGCATTCAATTTAGGCATTTTGGGAGTTGTTTGCTCTTGCTCATCTTGCCCATCTTTGTCACTGTTTTCCAAAGAGGCGGCATCCATAGAAATTAATAATCTACCTAATCAATGGTCAATAAAGTAGTACTCGATCTTCTCGAATTATTGTGAGCACTTTCATTAACTTATCATAATTTCTAATCGGCTTGTTCCTCAATTCAGCAGCTTCAGGCTTAGCCCACATATAAAAAGTACAACACATTAATTAATAAAGAAAAGAGGATAAACGTTTTAACATGAAAAATAAAAACAAAACTAATAAATATGAACTTACCTGAATTAATTGATCCCATACTTCATATTCGGCATTCCATGTATTTGTACCGGGATCTCATGCAAACCCACTCATCCCGTTTTGAAACATGTCATAGCACTTTCCAAATTGTCTTTTAATTAATCTCATTCGATTGTGAACTCTCTCTTTGTTAATAATTTTATCAGGAAATTTTGATAATAGCTCATTCACTATATTATCCGGTGCATGTGAAGTGAAGGTTCCACTAACTCTGTTACCAACTATACGTTGATGATGAAATGCATCAATTAAGGCGTCGTTCATGGCATTTGACCAAACACAAACAGAATTGTTATATAAAACATTTATATCGCTTGAGGATGGCTTTGACCTTTTCGGTATATTGGCAACTACATAATTAAGATGAATCTAAAAATTTAGATTCAATAAAATCGAATTACACATAAATATTCATAAGAGTTATAAAATAAAGAAAGCTGCAATACATACTGTCTATAATTCAAAAATAATATACAGAAATTACTTAGCACAGAATCAATCAAATAGTTATGAAAAAATTCATTTGAGTTTTAGAAAATTAAGCAAGGTAATCAAGCCACATGTCAGCTGCTATATGATCTCGGATCAACTCTCATTTCTTAAATTCCTCATTGCTTTCCTTGCTATTTGAAGGTTCTTCAAGCACATTTGTATCATTAATAAGCTCAGCATCAACCTCCGCAAGTAACCAATCATCTGGATCTACACCTCTCGAGTAGTTGCGCAAAATACAACATGCAAATATAATAAATTTTTGGGTGTCAACACCATATGATGGCTCTGTAGAACTAACAATTATAGGAAATCTTTTTTTAAGAACTCCAAATGCCCGTTCAATAGCATTACGTGAAGATGCATGTCGCAGATTAAATAATTCACGAGAATTTTGAGGTGGATTTCTTCAGTACTCTTCCAAGTGAAATCGCTCGACTCCCCTCCCCCCTATATGGCGTAATAAGTCCACTTCTCAACTTGAATCCAGCATCGACAAGGTAATATTTTCCTAAAAATAAAAACATCAAATAACCTATATACGCTTAGATAAATATTATGTAATATATACCTTCTGGAATTCATAGTGGGTCTTGTTTGTTTAGTGCTTCTTTCATGATTCTTGACTCAGATGCCATCCCTTTCCACCCACCTAAAATATTGTGAATTTTAAATCAAAGGTACATGCAGCCAAGATATTTTGTGTTGGATAATCTTTCCTCCCACGGTATTTAGGTGCTTCACTTTGTGGAACTTTAACACGTATGTGTGTTCCATCAATTGCACCAATACAATCCTGACATTATGTTCATGATTTAAAATTGCAAGCAATCTTGACATAAGTTAAAACTTGAATATAAATTGTAATTATGTTCACCTTAAAGTATGGGTAGAATCTCTGACTGCTGGCAATTTCAGAAGGAACTTGGAAGCCATCGGGTTGTTTAATAAACTTTTCATATAACCCCAAGATAGCTCTCAAGACAGTATGGAAATGACGACCGGCTGATTCACCAGATCGACGAAAGAAGAAAGCTAGTTCACGATTTGTCACATTATGTGCTAACATGTAAAGTGTTTTTTGCAACTTGTTCCTCAACAGTAGTTTGAAGTATTGGTTTAAGATCACCTTTTCTAACTAATATCTCACGTAGACCGATAAAGGCTGAAGGGGTCATTCTCAAGATATTACGATAAAGTTCAGTTGAGAATAAATAACTCATTAATTCACTTCTGACTTGTTCTCCTTCAGTTCGTAAATCATGTGTGATCGTACGTCGATCATTTTCAATTTCACACGCATAATGCCAAAACCAGATAACAACTAAGCAAGCAGCATATGCGGCTAAAGAGCTCAACTGTCGTGATATTTGTCTATTATTTTGATTATTCCGATCATCCATCTATAATAAAATTGAATGAGATCATCGTCAAAAATTAACTGAGAAAATAAAATACTTGAAATAAATATCAGATCCAAGATGCTAGACCTTAGCCATACTTAAAATACTAGGTCTCAGTATATATGTCTCCAATGTCAAGAATAAGAAGTGATGGGCAAATCTTCACTGTATACACTGTCTATATCTATATTAAGAAAACAGATGGTAGACCATAGCCATGAATTTAGTTATGCGAATCACATTACCATATTACACTTCAATTTTTTCCCAGAACCAAACCGTCGTTTAACCATATACTTAAGTCATGCAAAATAAAAAATCTCCATAACTAGACGTTAAAGTTGCAACACAAAATGCCATATTGACAGGTAGACCTTAAGCTATGACTTATTACTTGGTGAATCATATTAACAATTCATATTACTCATTAAATATTTACGTCATGCAAATAAGAATCTCCAAAATAATCATACATAGTAAGAGATAAACTACTCAAACAGCTGGATATAGTTGCAACAAAAACTAAAACACATGATAATTTACCCAAAAAAAATACCTGTATCTTGTATCTTGAAAACAAGATCAGAAACCTAATCAAAGAAAAAAGTTAACAATTATTAGCAATACAAAAAGTAGAACAATGAAAAAACCATAATAAATAAAAGCGGCAGAACTAACCAAAAGCTTCCGGGAGAATGAACGAAGACATTAGGTTTAGGTTGAACGTGGAGTTAAAATAATAAAATAAGGAAAGGGTAAAGTAGGATTAATAAGTAATAAATAAGGGTATAGTTGGAAAGAGAAATACTTAACGATCCGACTACACCAAATCGGTCATTACGTAAAATGACTCTTTTCGTTGTTACGTAACAATGAATTTAACAATACAATACAACGAATTTTAAGTAAGTAATAATTGAAAAACGATGTTTCCTTGCAGAGGACATCAATTCAAATCCGGGATTTTCGAATTGAGAGAGATATGACAATCAAAACAAACATTGTAATTATAATAACGATACGATACGATACAACGGCTAATAACCCTCCAAATAAGTTGTAAGATTTGTACCAAAAAAATCTTCATTTGTGAAATTTTAAACGAAACTTTTCACTTTTCTCAATTATGAAAGAGATTTTGTAGCACGTCATGAGCATCGGCTAAGAGGCGATTGAGCAACACAAGTAAACCGCCTTGTATTGCTTTGCCACAATGTAGAAGGTTGTGAAAGTGACCTTGTTATGCATACCTCCGATCATATGAATGAGGACCAACAGACTGATTTTCACGATTGAAGAAATTTTAGATGGAATGCTTGTCAAAGGCACTAGTGCATAGCTCATCTCACCACACCCTTTACTATATTAAACCTTATAATCAAGAAAAAAAATATCAAATTTGATGTTGTGTCATTCGAAATTGAGCTATTTTGCCATTCATTAAGTTTTTAGTATAATATATTATCCTAAGAAATTAACAAAAAGTTTGATACTTGTGAATAAAAAAAATTAATTTGGCTCAGGAAATTCAAATCGTATAAAATAAATTGGAAAGGAGGAAGTAAAAAGGGTCCCACCCCAACCCCAACCCCCAGAAGAGAAGTAAAGTTGGTGACAGATTGGTGAGTCACCGTATGGTAGCCTTATCCAGACTCTTCTAAGCTAAACTCTTTTTAAATCTTCTACCTTTTTCATTTCTCACCCCTTCATCCTTTTCTCCGTCCTTAACCCCCGCGTCTCTTTTTATATTATATAAACCTTTTCAAATCCGTCACTTCTCATTCTTTTCTTCACTCATTTCCTAGATTTAAGCAGCTATAAACAATTGCTTTTTTCCATTTTTTGGATTTTCATTTCCCAATTCTGACCTTCAACGCTCGGGAATTTAATTAATCACGCTCCAACTATTCTTTCCTAGATTGAAGCTGGCCCAAAAATCTGGCGTTTCCAATTTCCTAGGATTTATTACTCCGTCAAATTTTCTCTTCAATTTATTTAATTTAAAAACTCTTGTGTTTGTGTAAACTCTGAGAATGTTTTATTGAAATAATCATTTGGAGTAGAAGAGATGACGATCGTTTCATTACCAGGAAGTTCAGGGTACTTGGATGTTAGTAATAGGAAAGTAGTGTCTTACTTCAGCAATCCTTATGTCTTGGGTTTGACTTTCGTTGCCGGTATTGGAGGTCTCCTCTTCGGCTACGACACAGGTAACCAAATAAACAACTGCATATTAATAAGTAAAAATAAGTATTACTCCATAGTTTTTATTTTTTTATTTTATGTTGTTCTTGTTCCATTAAATATTTACTGCACTTTTTTAAGAGGAGGGTAGTTTTGACCGTTTTGAAAAATATTATTCGATTGATAACTGATTTGCTTAATCTACCGATGAATCTTGATTTGGTTACTACATGTAGATTTGTAATTAGAAACTAGTTAATAGCTGAACAATTTTTGGCTTTAATTTGGGGCTCTATTTTCATAAGTACTGTTTTTTTTTTCCCGATAATAAACAAAGCTCATGAGGTTTTTTTAGTCTGTCGATTGCCTACTATTATTTTGTACGTGAGGCTCAATTACTAATTGTTTTTGTTTAATTATAAACACGAAGTTGGTGACTAGACGAGTATCATATGCTGAATTTTATTGACTGATTAGTTGCTTGTCACATTGGTATAAGAAATTATAATAGACATAATTCAAACAAGTTACTAAATGAAAGATAAAAAAATGTTGGTGAGTGTATGCTGACCAATTGGCGACGGTGTCTTCCTTGATGTGGTATCAAACAGAAGGAAAAATAAATAAATAAATAAATAAAACACATTTTATGGGATATGATCGAGGTGTAATGTTATGGCATTAGTGATAAGATAAGTAGCAAGAATCTTCATGACAAGAAGCTGAATTATATTTTGTTGTACAGCAATAAAATTGACTGGATTTGTTTTCTCAGTGTAATATGTATTCTCACTTATCTTTGGCTTGGCTGCAGGAGTAATATCTGGTGCACTTTTGTACATTAAGGATGAATTTCCCGAAGTCAATCAAAGCAGTTTCCTACAGGTACTTGAGGCTGGTACAACATTATCTATTGTTGTTGGAGTTATTTAAAAAATGGATGTGACGGGGAATGGGGGTGAGGTTGGAGTTCAAGTACTATAAATAGATTGTTTTCTTAGTTCCTGAGAGAAAAATGTTAATTTGAGTCCTCTTTGTCAGTTACATTAAGGAATTGTTCTAACCTTATCAGAAGAATTCCTAAAAGTTAATGTGCAATGCAATCTAATATGGTTGAGCAAATGTGACACTTTTTTTGCTTGAATGACTGTGGTGCAAAACTATATTCAGTGTGATAATGCAATTGTGGTGTGTAATTTATCTGCTATTAAATGTGTTTTACTTCGCTTTAGAAGCAAAAATTTCAAATTAACTACCAATATTGCCTTTGCTAATCTTACAATAATTAGGATTTTCAATTGGCCACCTCTTCCCCATTTCTGCGGCGAGCAAATAACACTTAATAAGTGGTCCTATTTCTTGTCAATTTGTTTTTGTTTTCCTGAAAATTCGGTTCATGATTTTGCAGGAAACTATTGTCAGTATGGCATTGGTTGGGGCTATGATTGGAGCTGCTGCTGGGGGCTGGATTAATGACTCTTATGGACGCAAGAGAGCTACTCTATCTGCTGATGTTGTTTTCATCCTAGGATCTTTGGTAATGGCAGCAGCTCTGGATCCATACATTCTTATACTTGGACGACTTTTAGTAGGTCTGGGTGTTGGGGTTGCTTCTGTTACTGCTCCTGTGTACATCGCTGAAGCATCTCCGTCAGAAATTCGCGGGGGGCTTGTGAGCACAAATGTATTAATGATTACGGGCGGACAATTTCTTTCCTACCTTGTGAATCTTGCTTTTACAGAGGTCAGATATTTCTTTCTTTCTTTCTCATGCATTTCTAAGTTTATATTGCTTTGACTTAGGTGAACCTAAAATGAGCAAAATCTATGTTGCATGCGGCAGAAGTACTTGTCAAAGGCATAAGCTTAAAATGTTAAAAAGATATGGGCTTAGGGAATTAGTTGAGACTGTGGGTTAAATGTTGCTATTATTTTGTTTGTTACTGTTATTTGGTAGTCTGCTTGATATTGATAACTGACTTTTATTAGGGTGGGAGTAAACGTCTTGTATCTTTTGTGATGTTTATACATTCATCTGTGAAGTATTACAGCATAAAAGCAGATAGGGTGAGGGAAAGAATAACTTACTTTTTGAGATGCTGATCATGTTCTAACTGGAAGAACATTACCGAGAAATTCAAACTTTTGCTTCCTAATCATCATTCACAGAATTTTTTCCTGTCAGAAGCTATGGTGAGATCAAATGGAATCATTACATAAGCTATTTGTTGAGGTTCTTTGAATCTTTTTCCGAAATAGAGCACAAAAAAAAGTTTTCTTCACTTGTGTTTATTATTTTTGGCATGAAAGGTTTCCCGTTGTGCTGTTCGGAGTGGCAGATCAAGATAGAATATGGGGCTGGCATTACAATATCTGCAATGAGTAACATCAGTGGAGGAATTGTTCCTTTCTCACCTATGTTGTGATTTGTGTGGATATTGTCATCTAGCTGTTACTTTTTTCTAAAGTGGCGTTTATGAATGATTTGTGCACTGCTGACTGCTAATTGATAAAAGTTAATTTGGAAAATACCCCGTGGGTTTTAGTAGTCTTTGTGAAGTTTCAGTTAGAAATAGAACATCAAAAATCTTCTTTGTCTTCTTTGTTTATCATTTTTGGAATTGGAACATTCCATGTGTTAAAAAAAGAATGCAGCTTGGCATGCAAAAGTGAGTTGGATATTTGTGTTGCCATTGCTCCAGCTTTAATCCAGTTGATTTAATAGGGGTGTGATGTTTTGTTGGGATATTCTGTCTTGTTTGCTCTTTTTATTTTTTGTTCTTTTTTCAAAGATATGCTGAATTTAATCTATGTGCTATCACTCAAGGTGAACAGTACTTCGTATGCCTAGTTGTCTTCATATAGAATCTACTTCTTTTGTTTTTGGAGATGGCTGTACTTGACAGAATATCAGAAATGTTGTTTAGACATTTCGTTCGGAAACATTCCTTATGTATGTCATAAGGAGCTTATTTACTTGAAAAAGACACATTGTCCAAGTGGACCTTGGAAGGACTTAATGGTGGCAATTTGCTAGTAAGTTCCTAATGCAGAACAATCCCTCCATGTGATTAAGTAGGTGCAGTACTTTATCTTAGGACATTGTTCTGGGTCATGTTACTTAATTATCTAGTTTGTCAGGACTGGTTGTCCTTATAACTAGATCATTCTTTTTGGGTCTGCAATAGTTCTGAGATTTTAGTCTGCCATGCATGGGTCTATATGAATAGGTTTATATGGGCTGCTGGAGGATTCATGTTAACAGTTAATGTCTAGTTGTTTGGGTTCATATTACTTTTTGGATTTACTATTCTGATTTCTGTGGAGTGTCAGGCCCATGGACATGGATGAGTGGTTGAGGAACATGAGTAATAACTTGGGGTGCAAGGTTCGAAGTCAGTTACAACATTCATTGCCAGTCCATCAGCTCTAGTCTTGGTAGGCAGGATTAGCCGACACTTTTGCTTGTGGGTTTCAGCAGGCTGCCTGGTGACTTTGTCTATGTGCACGTACGCTATTACCCAGTTACCACTATCATCTAATAGAATCTGTAGGGTATCAGATAAAATGGATAGGTTAGGGTTCCTTCAGGGACATCTGATGAAATTGGAATGATACGGAGAGGGTTTGTATGGCCCTAGGTATAAGCTTCTCCTGACTCGGTATAAGCTTTAGTATGGTCAACACTTTTGCTTGTGGGTTTCAGCAGGCTGCCTGGTGACTTTGTCTATGTGCACGTAAGCTATTACCCAGTTACCACTATCATCTAATAGAATCTGTAGGGTATCAGATAAAACGGATAGGTTAGGGTTCCTTCAGGGACATCTGATGAAATTGGAACGATACGGAGAGGGGTTGTATGGCCCTAGGTATAAGCTTCTCCTGACTCGGTATAAGCTTTAGTATGGTCAACGGTTCGGGTTGGTTAGTTACCTTGTTTGGCTACATTGTTCTTTCACCTAATCTAGGGTCTTAGAAGTCCACCTTGTCGTCCCCGGTAGGCTACTAACTCTGCCCTGGAATATAGAAACTTATTTGTGTTATAAAAAACGAGGATAGTTTTGACTGTTTATTGTATATTCAAAGTGATGGTACACCTTTCTCCTGAATTTGTTCATTTCAAGTGTGATCTGAGTATTTCTTCCTGTATCTTTACCCAATTTGTTCTTTTACATTGATAATCATTTTCTTACATTATAACTTTGTGGAGGATACTGGAATAACCATTCTGATAGTACATGATTGCTATTGTGTTTATTCTAATGAAACTGTTAAAGCATTCATATTGATTTCCATTGCTGCTTGAATGTTTGAACAGATTCCAGGGACTTGGAGATGGATGCTTGGAGTGGCGGGAGTGCCTGCTGCTATTCAATTCGTCCTCATGCTGTTTTTACCTGAGTCTCCACGATGGCTTTACATGAAGGTGCAGATTCTCTTAACTTTGTGGGTAGTTCTTGCTAATGAATAACAATATTGACTTAAAAAAACCTATACAGAAGGATAAAGCTGAAGCTGTCGCTGTTCTAGCTAAGATTTATGATCCTTATCGGTTGGAGGAGGAGATTGATCAGCTTGCTACTGCATTAGAGGAAGAACGCCTTAGAAAGCAGGCTGTCAGTTACCTGGATGTATTTAGGAAGAAGGAGATCAGACTTGCATTCTTTGCAGGAGCTGGGCTGCAGGTATCCTTTAGACTTCTGTGATTTTACAATGATGTGTACCGTTCTTTTAGTTGAAGTTGCTTCCTCAGCTCCATCTTCTTATTTTCGGTAAAAGAGTACATTCGACTGTGAATTTTTCCTACTTGGGGGATCTCCCTTGTGCTCCAGCCAGATTAAGCGTGCTGCATGTAAAGATTTATCTATGAAATTGAATTCAAAAGAGCATTTGAACATGATGATGGCTCTTGCAGGAGCCTTTGACGGAAGTAAATTGAATTTAAACTGGCAAACTTGAAGCATTTTCTACACTATTTTCTTTGTTCCCTTAAAAGCGCCAACTACAAACATTTTTTGCAGTTACCTCTTTTACAATAGCATGAGAGGTCAAACAATTTTTGCAATTTCCTATTTTACAATAGCATGAGAGGTCACTGATCATCGGAAATGAGCGGTCGTTGCTAGTTTATAATAATCACCTCTTTGAATATGCAGGCATTTCAGCAGTTTGCAGGCATCAACACCGTTATGTACTACAGTCCAACAATTGTGCAGATGGCTGGCTTCAAATCTAATCAATTAGCGTTGCTGCTGTCTCTCATTGTCGCTTTAACGAATGCCATGGGTACTATAGTGGGAATTTACCTCATTGATCACTTTGGACGCAAAAAGTTGGCTTTGACAAGCTTATCCGGTGTGATTGTGTCCTTAATTCTCCTTGCTGTAGCATTCATCCTAGAGTCTTCTACTTCCAATTCAATCAATGTCGGGGCATATGGCTGGATTGCTGTAATAGGTTTGGCCCTCTATATTGCTTTCTTTGCACCTGGTATGGGTCCTGTGCCATGGACAGTGAACTCTGAAATATACCCAGAGTCCTATAGAGGAATGTGTGGTGGTATGTCTGCTACTGTCAACTGGATATCCAATCTTATAGTGGCACAGAGTTTCCTCTCCTTAGCCGAGGCTGTGGGCGCGGGTGCTACTTTCTTGATACTAGCTGGTATAGCAGTGATGGCATTTGTCTTTGTCGTCGTGTTCGTGCCAGAGACCAAGGGCTTGTCATTTGAGGAAATGGAGAGGATATGGAAGGAGAAAGCTTGGGGCAGTGGATCTGGCAAAGACGCACTTCTTGAGGCAAGAAGCTGATTAGAGTCTTTCAGCGACTTCATGATCAGTTGGTGCAGTGTAGCAGTTTGTGAATTATATTAAATATATATTTTGGTAATGTCAATGTAACGTGGACAAGGGGCCTTGCAACTGCGTTATTAAAGCTTTGGTTGCAAGCTCCAATCCCTGTGACAGGGAGGAATGTCCTCCAGTACTATTGGGCTTTTATCTTTTGGAAGTGTCAGTTCAGGAAATATGTGGAGAGTTGTGTTGGTTATGAGACCAGAGAATTCCAGTTAATTGTTTCCCTTTTTGTATAGTAAAGATCTTCAAGTAGAGCATCGGAACGTTTTTGGTCTGAGCTTTTTAAGCTGGTCTTTCTCTTTTTAATTAGTCACTCAACATTAGGCAGGAATTAGCTGTGGTGTTTGGGGGTTTGGCTATAAGCCTTTCCTTGCATGTTAGTATATGTTAATATCCAACAGGCTCACCTTTTACAGTTGTAGGCTAGCTTTCCAAAAGAATTCTAGTTATGTACGTGCAAGATCAAAGGGGTATGCAGTTTTCTGCTTTCTCGACAAAAACTAATGTTACAAACTACAAAATGTCCAAGAATTTTCAGTTGAATGTCCAACAATAGCTTTCTTACTCTTCATATTGATAAACATAAGATTTGCACACATGATGAACTGAACAGTTGGCAGGTTGTCCTTGTTGATCTGTTTTACTTTCAGCAGTTTCATTGGTAGGCTCAGAACATCATAATAGTACATCAATGGAAATGGTAATGTCCTGCATGATCCACCATACTTGGTTAAAGCATCAGCAAGTTCATATCCTTCCCTAAAGCAGTGTCTAACCTTATGCTGGCAGTTCTGTGAAAATTTCATATTTTAGTTCCCAAGGAAGGTGCATCTTTCTTCCAAAACATTGACAACCAGTAGAGAGTTCATCTCTAAAATAACATTCATGTAGTTGTTGCTTTTACACATGTATAAAGCAAAAGATGCAAGCCTGTATGTTAGAGAAAACTTGAAGTGGAACTGCAGAGGCAAAAATCAAATCCCCATTGTTAAATCATTGGTGTTTGTTTGAAACTAAACTTTTGGAATGCTTGCTTCTCTTTGTATGTTTATTTGCATCTGGCTATGATCTCACACGTTTATGTAGTTACTTCATACTCGTTTTTGATTCATTTTAATTTTAGCCCATTTTGCTCTGTGATTCGGTTTTAGGTTTTTCCAAGCCTCCAGTGGGGAGTTTATAGAGTCTTAGAGAGGAAGTGAAAAAAGGGGAAGGAGGGAAAGCTAGCAGATGAAAATGGAGAGATTTCTTACAAAGAGTTCTGAATCGAAAATAGAAGAGTTGAGTAAATCAAAAATCCAAAGGAGGTTATTACTTTTACATGGCGCGAATCCAATAATTAACTGGATTTGGAATTTCATACTGTTTGTTCAAAATTAGCGGATAAAGAAATATATGAAAAAAGACATATATAAAACAAGAATTCTCAAAATGGGCCGAGGCCGTCGCTCTCAAGGAAGTGAAGAAAGAGAATGTTGCAAACTTCATTCGAGTGAACATCATATATCGATTTGGCATTCCTAGTTATATAATAACAGATAGTGGCAAACCGTTTGATAACAAATTGATGACCAAGATCAGTGAACTTTTTGGCTTCAAGCAACATAATTCGTCAATGTATTATGCTGCTGCAAATGGACTAGCCGAAGCATTAACAAGACACTTTGCAACTTGTTAAAGAAGGTTGTCTCCAAGTCTAAAAGAGATTGGCATGACAGAATGGAAGAAGCTTTATGGGCATATCGTACGACTCATCGCACGCCGACACAAGCAACTCCTTATTCTCTTGCTTAAGGAGTCGAAGAAGTTCTTCCTCTTGAGCGTCAAATACCGTCCTTGCGACTCGCTGTCCAAGAAGGTCTACTGAAGAAGAAAACGCTCGTCTGCGCCTTGAAGAACTAGAGTCCCTTGATGAAAAAAGGCTAGTAGCTCAACAAAGTCTTGAATGTTATCAAGCTCGTCTTTCTCGTGCTTTCAACAAAAAGGTTCGCTTGAGGTCCTTTCAAGTTGGTGATCAAGTTCTTGCAGTAAGAAGACTTATTATCACCTCTCGCAAATCCGGGGGCAAATTCGCTTCAAAATGGGATGGTCCATATGTTGTGCAAGAAGCCTTCAAGTGGAGCTTACAAGTTAGTTGATACAGATAGCATGAGAATTGGCCCTATCAATGAGAAATTTTTGAAGAGGTATTATCCTTGAAGAATAAACGCTCCTTAATGCACGAGCCTAAACTGCATATTGCTGTGCTCCTGGCCCACATGATCCTAAACTGCGAACGGCACCCCAAAAAAAAAGAGTCTGCTAGGTTGAAAACCTCGAAGGAGGCGGCCTAGGCAAACGTTAGGACATACAATTTTTTTTTATAAAAAAAAACTCATTTATTTTGAACTACGTTATGACTTGATACTCTTCACGGAGGTATGTAGGCAACTTAGAGTTTCATTGTAAGTTCAGTCGCATAAGCTTTAAAAAAAAAGTGTTTCAATGTGACATGATCATCAAAATTCGAGCTGAAGCATCACGTTGATTACTCAAATAGGCGCATATTGTAGAAAGAAAGAAGGCAATTTGTGTCGAGCCAAAATGGACATTTCATTGCTTCAATGCAACAAGGATCTGATACATCATTGTCAAGAGACTAAAAGGATGAAAATATTTATACTTCGTCCTATACGAAGAATCTAAGTCATAAAAGCAATTGACGCGAAAGATTGTCGCTATCTTGTCTTGAATGCCTTTCCAAGTTCGCTTCATATTTTCAAAACATGATGCTATCATAATTCTTTGTGTAGTTGAATCCAATGTGAATTGTTCCCCCATCATGTGGCCTAACCGTGAAATTTCTAATTTAGGTTCCGAAGGGTCAAGCAATACATGATATAGAACTTTGACTAATCCAGAAGGTCTTATGCCGCAAAGACTACTATATGCATGCGAATATGGAAGTTCACTGCAATCGTGTCGACTTAGCGAATTTTCTGTTGGTAGACTAGAAAAAGTTCTGCCATGAAATTCATAGGTACTTCAGGTCTCTGAGTTTACTTTCTAACTGCACGAACGGATTGCAATTCTGACACTCGAAGCTCAAGATACGATTTTTTTCCCAGTGAAAGTACCCGAATCTGAAAGTTTACTGCAGTTAGGTCGAGTTCGGAAATTTTCTGTTGACAGTCCGAAAGGAGTTCTTCCATGAAATTTATTTAAGTTTTAGATCTTCGAGTCTACTTTCTAAACACCATAAACAGATTGTAATTCCGATACTCCTAGCTCAAGATACAATTATTTTCGCCAAAAGTACGCAAATATAAAAGTTCACTGCAGTTGCGTTGACTTCGCGAATTTTCTGTTGACAGTACGAAGGAGTTCTGTTATGAAATTTATATGAGTTTTAGATCTTCGAGTCTACTTTCTGACACCACAAACGGATTGTAATTCCGATACTCCTAGCTCAAGATACAATTATTTTCGTAAAAGTACGCAAGTTAGAAAGTTCATTGTAGTTGAGGCGACTTCGCGAATTTTCTGTCGACAGTACGAAAAAAGTTCTGTTATGGAATTCATAGGCACTTTAGGTCTCTGAGTTTCTAACGCTGCAAACAGATTGTAATTCCGACACTCCTAACTCAAGATATGACTTTCTTTAACAAGAGCGTGCGAAGCAACAAGCCACCGCATAAGACATGTGCTGAAATTTAAGAAAGAAATAATTGAGAGTAACTGGGGGAATCCAGATCTCAAAGAGAGATATCACATACTAAAAATAAAGATACTTTTACTGCTTCAAGAAATAAGTATTCCGTTACATGATATTAGTTATAAAAAAAAAAATCACAACTCGAGAATCCTAAGCAAAAAAAAAAAAAAACTCTAAAATCATGGAAAAGGTTTGAAGCTACGGATTTGTTGACGACTTGTCTCAACTGCCCCTTTCAGGAGGGATAATTTCTCTGCTTCATCATCAGATAATGGATGATTGGCTTCAATGGTATAAATCTCCCCTTCGGTAATGTCAATGTTCTCTTGACTTTTAGCCAACTTCACTTGTTGTCTATCCAAGAGCGCGATGATCTTCTTCTTTCTTGAGGCCAAGGAAGCTAGCTGTTATTCAACACTCGCAAGATTGGATGGAAGTTTCTCACAGACTCGCTCACTTTTTCATATTCCTGTTTTGCATCATCGAGATGTCGTCGTGCATCAGAAAGTGGCTCTTGGTGAAATTCTTTAGTCATCTTGGACGATCTTAAAGCATCGTAATCATCGTACGTCTTGAAGAAAGCCTCAACAAGAGCCTCTAAAGTAGAAGTATCAATAATATTTTCTTTCTTAATTTCCTCAAGAGTCAAAGCGATACTTTCCTCCAACTTTTTGAAGCTATTCATAGAATCAAGAGAGAACCCTTCGATCCATTCACACAGGTATGTCACATCGTGTTATCAAAAGAAATTTTAATACGGGAAATAGTCTCTTGTGGTTTGAAGTTTGGAGCATCAAGATGCAACAACCATGGAGTAGGCTCGACGGCTTTTTGACGTTTTGCCTGACTTGCGGCAGCCTCCATCTTACTTGTCATGGTTGGCTTAGAAAGCATAACATCTTCTGGAAGAAAGAGTTGCGACTCTTTGGGTAGACTCAAATCTGTTGACAGAGCGTTGTTTGCAGCATATTTTTCAACACCATCAAATAAATTGTGAGGACTTTTTGCGGCCACACCGAGGGAATTTGGGCTTGTAACACAGTCTTCCACCATGTTGTCACCAAGTACGTCATCATACAACTCATAGACGCCCAACTGCAAAAAAATAATAATAATAATAAATAAATAAATAACTTTAGTGTTCAAATAAAAGGGGGAGTAAAATTGAAGGAAATAATATTTACTCGTTTCTCCAGTTCAGACAACGACATCGTTGAGCTAGGGTCACCCTCTACGAAAAATCCAGTATCGATACTAAGAGCATCCAAGTAAGCAGAAGCAGAACGATTCCAATGTATGTCGTGACTAACATCACTCTCGTTTGAACAGGAAGTTGCACTAACATTCACAATCTCATTGGGCAAAGCAGAAGATTGAGTCCTTTCCTCGTTTGTTGGCACGACGTTGGTTGTGTTCGCAACATTTTTGTTTGGTGAAGTAGGAGGCTCTTTCCTTTTGCAATAATTTTTCGTCACCTCCACAGTGGTAGTAGTTGTCTTGGAAGTCAACAAAACATGTTTAGCTCATTTGTCCACATGGGCATCCCCGCCCGTCGAAGGGGTAGACTTGGATAAGACCTTGGTGCTTGGTGAAGGATCTTTTGATCTTAACTTGG